CCTAAATCTAGTAAATCGGCCAATTTAATCTTGTAAATGCTTACTTACTAGTATATGACGATTTTACAGAAAAGTATCCATGGCAGTTGATGACTTTTTATAACAAGTTGTTGTGGTAGTGGCTGTTGTGGTTGTAAGAAGTGAATAATTTTATGTTATCAATGAAGAAGATAATGGGTCATTAATACAGAGGAAACAAAACTTCCTAAATCACACTATAAGCAGGTGTTTTCCTAAATTATGCCAGTTAATAATTGCTAGCAAGAGGTTTAAAAAAATACTATAAACTTTATACCCATTGAATGATTTTCTTCCAACTTTGCTTATCAATGCCATTTTGGCCGCTCAAGGTCAAAGTCACAGTTGAAATAAAATGTCAGACGAATTCGTGTCCGCTCTATAAAAATTATATACCCCTTAAAACCTATACGGTCGCTGTGCCGGTCAGCATTAAAGGTTAAATGTTGGACTTTTTTTCGCTCTATAAACCATTTACTATGTGAAATGTACCTTTAATATTGGCTCCATAGATAATGATAATATAAAATCAACAAGGTGGTGATCAGAATCCATGACGCCGATGTGCTGCCACACTCTAGTTTTGTATTTTAATACCTGTTTGTCTCCGATGACAAAGAAATAGTATGAATTTATTCACGCACAAAAATAAGTGGCTTCTCTTCATTTTTCATTTTATTACAAGAATTTCTAATTGTACTGACATTTAAAAAAAAAAACATCATGTTAACAAAGCACGTTTCCTTTTACATAAAGTACCATTGTCACAGTACTTCTTTTGTCGATTTTACAATTTCCAACCTGCTTAAAGTCATATATAATACAATCAAGATTTTCAATTCAACTAGTTGACCTAGAATCATTAGCGTAATTCAATATGAAACAATTTTCAACAAACTTACAGATTATTCAACCAAACAAGCGTCTTAACGTTGCTGGAAAGAAAACAATTTGTTGTTGTTGTTTGTTTTTTCAGAGGAAATAAATGATTTCACGACAAACCGCTTCTCTAAGTCTACTGTTGATTATTTTATGGTACTTTATGAGTTACCCGTAGATGTATGAGACACTATCGTAGTTAATCAGTTCTTTCTGACCTTACACGTAAAAATAAAGGTACATTAGAGGTACATTATGTCACAGAAATGATTTATTAGTTTATTTATGTTTAGATTTGGTTGAAGAGCATGTTCGATGCTTTTTACCTGAAGTATGTACCGCTGAATGAGAAATTATTTGTCATAAAAGAAGCAAAATGTAAACAAAGTAGTATTTGACTTCCGTACAAAATAATAAATCGCTGTAACTGCACTTGATTGCTACAAAAGTGAAATATAAGTCAGGTTATTGACCAAGGAGTAAATTTTTGGAAACTATTAACAAGGCACTATATATATAAAAGCCTCGATAGAAATAAAAATTATAGAGTTTCTGAGGGCATTATGGGCCTCTAAGCTTCAGAAATGCTTTTCTGTATGTTTTATAATATTGTGAAAATCGATTTGAAAAAAATATGTTGCTTATCGCATGATGATGATAATACGGAATATGAAATAAATTGTGATTAAGGTAGCACAACGTAAATAAAGTGGACTTTCATACCAAATACGTAACCCCTGTAACTGTACTAAATGCAAAAGAAGCAACAGATGACACTGCTTTATGGCTAATCTGTATCTTTTTGAAAACTGTTATAGGACACCAAAAAATGAAAGATGTTTGAAAGATGAAAATATCTTATTCTTAGTCTTAATGGGTCTTTTAAGAAGATATAAACTTTTGCAGAACCCAGGCGGTGTAATACTATCCAATACCTGACCAAAATATTGGGTATAGCGATTGTGACCACTCTGTATTCTAATTATAAATATAAAGGCAGAAGGAAAATTTAAAAAAAGGAAAGAAATTTCAAGATGTGATATTCTTTACCCTTGAAGGTCGTTCAGCACGGCATTATTGTTGTGTTTTTAGTTCCTTCTATTAGACTTTGTCCAGTTAGGTGATTTTCAGGACATGTTGCCTGCTTTTAACATTTGACTTTTGGTGGCTTCATGAACTCTGACACCCATTTAAAGGACCATGTTATTAGTTTAGCCCATTGATTTCTCGTTTAAGGGATACGTATTCTCTTACTTGGGGTCCATGTCCATTTTAAATTTGGTGGATTGGATGGATGTGCAACGTGAAAGTCTTCATTATGACCGCCGTTTTAACACATCTACGGATGTTTCTAAATTCAAAATTTTAAACAACTAATGTTTAAATGTTGCGTTTTGCTTGAACCGGTGATAGGGGCGTTCGCGGTAACAGATTTACGCTTTCGCAAGCGAACAAGCTCAACTAAAGAAAGCCTGAAATATTTTCAAATTCGCCGGGTTTTTTTTTTTTTTTTTTTTTTTTGGCATTTTTTTTTGGCATTTTTTGGGGGGCATTTTTCTATGTAAGAAACTTTTGCAGTGATAACACACATTAAATTACCGAGTATGGAAAAGGAAATCTGTCTCTTGTAACAGATTGCAAGAAAAAAAATGCACATGAAAATGCCTTTATAGATTACGGCAACTGATTTCACGATAAAGTTTAAAGACTCTCTTGAAGACAATCTGTTGCAGAATTTCAAGATGTTTATGGACATTCAAGAAATAGGTATGTCAAGTATGCATGCCCTAAGCTATGCAGCGGACACCTCAGATCGAATTCCATGATAGTTGACGAACTATTCAGGTTCCCGTTTACCTGATAATTCCAAGTTAAAGATACATTTGTATATTCGAAAGCAGTTCTTTTTGGTGTGAGTGTGACAAGGCTTGCAACACCATACCACACACCCCTCATGAACAGGCTCAATCAAACCTAGCCTTCAATGTTCTTTACGGATTCCGTTTTTCTCTATTTTGTAACAAACCAAACAGAGTAATCGTTTGGTTCTTTTGTATTTGTGGTTTAGCATACCACTTTGTTTACGTTGTGCTAGCTTAATCACCATTTGTTTTACATTCAGCGATATTATCACCATGTGATAAGCATCTCCATTTTCACAACATTATATACTGCTTTGTTTACATTTTGCTTCTTTTATGACAATTAATTTCTCATTCATCAGGTAATTAGCATCGAACATGCTCTTCAACCATATCTAAACATAAATAAACTCATGTTTGCCCTTTCTAAAGAAAAAAAATCATTTCTGAGTCTAATGTGTCTTTTTTACATGTAATCGTGAATTGACGTGAAGTCGCTTGTTTTATTCAATAATCTTTAAGTTGGTTAAAATTGTTTCGTCAACTAGATGAACGGAAAATTTGATTGTGTTACCGGTATAAACGATTTTAAGCATGTTGGAAATTGTAAAGAAAAACTCAGTGTTGACAAAAGAAGTACTGTTTAGACAATTTTACTTCATGTAAAAGGAAACGTGCTTTGTTAACATGATGTTTTAGGTTTGTAAAATGTCAGTACAATTAGAAATTCTTGTAATAAAATGAAAAATGAAGAGAAGCGACTTATTTTTCTGAGTGAATAAATTCATACTATTTCTTTGTAGTCGGACACAAACAGGTATCAAAATACAAAACAAGAAAGTGACCTTGATCTCAAGGCAGCACAGCGGTGTTATGGGTTCTGCTCACCACACCTTTTTATATTATCATTATCTATGGAGCCAATATTAAAGATAGCTTTCACATAGTAAATGGTTTATAGAGTGAAAAGTCCGACACTTGACCTAAGACTGACCGGAACAGCGATGGTATAAGTTTTAAGGGATATATGATTTATAGAGCGGACACGAATTCGTCTGACATTTTCTGTCAAATGTGACCTTGACCTTGAGCGGCCAAAAATGGCAGCCTCCATGTGCCATGTTTGTGGCAAAAGTGATAGAGAAATGTTTCTTTTATACAATGGACAAAAAAAGTTGAAGGAGTATGTTAACAATAGTTACCAAAGTTGTTATTATTTATTTCTTCTTTTTTTCTTTTCTTTTTTTTTTTTTGGGGGGGGGGGGGTGGGTGGGGTGTCAATGCTTTATTCAAAGAACAACACAACCTGACACTGCCTTTTATGGTCTGGTTTATTTCATTATTTTTCAGTTTGTGTTGTTTTTTTTAACGCATCTATTTGACTGATTTCAATGTGTCGACTGACTTTCGAAGTTTTCTTTTTTGTGTGATTTTGTTCTTTTTTTATGTCAAAAAGTATCATAACGAACCGTATTCACTCTCATTATGGTCCTATATTGTAGTTATGTATTTCTAATAACTTCCGTCTGTAGATGAATTTGCTGAATAAGAAAACATTGAAAATAATATTTAATTAAGAATTAAGTGCAGATGCCTTTATATAGATGGCGGTGATCCTTAATTTTCAATATGACTCTTTTATGCCGTTATGAAGAATGACGAACTGTGAAAAATACCGAAATGCTCATAATCGAAATTGAATATCTGGAAAAAGTGATCACTCGGAGGTATTAAAACAGCAAAATTACATGACAATTGCAGACTCGGTTTGCTTGAGTCTGAACATGAGGGACAATGAACACGTGCAACATCCCTCTTCCCCCCTAACATCGGCTTGGGCGGTACTCAATACTCAACACTCAAGTGCTGGACTCAATGATCCCGAAGGACCAGTAAAATATAACAACATTGAAATGAAGTACGGGGCAATTTTTACGGCTGCCACACAGCACTTGACACCTGATGTTGTGATATATATAAATATCTGGAAATAAGTGATCCCTCAGAAGCATTAAAAACAGCAAAACTACATGAAAATTGCAGACTCGGTTTGATTGAGTTTGTACATGAGGGATAATGAAAACGTGCAACAACTCTCACGTCCCCTAGCACCGGCTTGAGCGATACTCAATTCTCAACACGTAAATGCTGGACTCAATGATGAACAGTGAATATGAGAGGATATCAGAGGCTATGAAGATTTCATATCACAGAAAGTTATAAAATTACAAAGTCAGAAAGTATGCAACGTTTCCTTCAGTTTATTTCTCAATATTCAAGTTAAAATATTATGACAACCCGAAGAAAAATGGTGAAATTGAAAAAAATAGTCTAATCGAAAGAAAGTCGTTATATTGACATGGAAATAAATAAGGATTGGAGGATTTCAATGTTTCTAAGCAGAAAAAGAACATGATTCAAAACATGTATGACATAGATAACATGACGATATAGTTCTAAGAAAGTTATGGTTTGTCAGGGTCACACAGATAGATGGATATTTCGTCGATATCTCCATCAAATGGCAAAAGCTTTTCGGCGTGTCCAATATGGATAGCGCATCTCACATTGTGCAAATATCCTGGAGCCGGTACGCTGTCGGTATTAGCGCCATTACTACCAATTAATTCACCACCGACAAACCTGTATGTGGCAATCTTCTCGACTTTTTGAGAAGGATCGGCTGGGGTCTGTGGTACATATGTATACGCAAATGAGACTCTGTCTGTTCCAACTCCGAAGTAAACATTGCTTTTATCCTCGGAAACCATAACTGAAGGCAGATTACCACAGTCGCTGTTAGAAATTAGAGCACGTGCTAACCCGGTAATGTTTCCGTGCTTTGAGCTGTACTTGATCTTAATGACAACTTCTGTGTTGTGTTCTAGGTTGGTAAATCTAGGAATAACCAGTCGGCTATTGACACCGTTGAAACGTGCGACACCATTATTAATTTCAACATTATCATTGAAGACGTAATTTCTATTCCCTGACTCGTCCTCGTGATTTTTAGTGAATGGTAAATGGATCTCGGGCTTGCAAACAGGTTTCGTTACAATGGGCTTTGTAAAACCGATACACGCGCATGCTTCCTTAATAAAATATGAGCCCGGTGCACACTGTTGATCAATCAGTCCATGGCCGGCGACGTACAGTTTAAACATCGTAGGATTGTTAGGAACCTCGACAAAGTCACATTGTTTAGGATACAGTTTGCTCTCGCTAACACCAAGACATGTATCGTTACACCTGTCGTCGACATCTTCAACACATCCAACTCCGTGAATATAAATTTGATTGTATGAGCAGCACATTACTTCTGATTTCTTGTTCATACACTTTATGTAACCTCTACAGTTTGTGTGAGCAAGCTTCAAAACGCCATCAGCCTCGTTTTTACATTGGTCGTTGTTACATTCCGTCTGTCCAATGGGTAGACATGTTAGATTTCCCATATCCCAGTGTGTTCCGAATGCGCAGTTCATGATTTCGCCTTCAAGTACATTTTGGTCGTTGTAATGGCACTGGATATACTTGTCACAATCAGGGTGGTCGTTGTACCCGGCCCCATTTACCATTACACAACCTTCGCATAGATCTTGTCGACGCTGTGCCGTCACGTGATACAAGGAACCAATTAGGAGAATAGTGGCAAAAATCCGTAACATGATTGCTGTTACTCGAGAAACTGAAAATAATAATAATAATAATGATAATAATAATAATATTTTGTTCATAAAAACATAAGCGATCTTTTTTTATTTTATTTCTTATTGTTTTTATTTGTATTCTTTTTCTTCCCTTTATGTCGTTATCATTGCAGGTTTTGGTGAAGACGTAAGGTGCTACTCTCCAGATTAATTTGTAAGGAGATTTTTTTTTCACGCTATATGTACATGTATCTAAATTGAACTAAAGGCGCTTGTGTTAAACTAATGCTAAAAAACTTGCTTAATTTTTTAAAGTACCAAAATGTATACACTGTATATTGTCGGAAATCAAATTGATAAGCTGCAGTATATTTTTGTCCCAGTACTATCCAAAACACAAATAAGAGTGAGACGTAAATCAACTTTATCTTTTTTTATAATAAAAAGACATACTAAAACAAAGAAATAGCCCATAAAAGAGGCAGAACGAATAAATTTGACAAGACGTCATGATAACATCATATAGATTAGCGTTATTTTGAATGATGACATGTCCAAGGATGTATTCTCAGTATATACCCTAATTAGGTCTGTAATACATACAATATTTGGTACTGTCTAACTAGTTAGCGAAAAAAAGAAACAAAAAAAACTACAGAATACGGGAAATGCGATCCCTCGGAAGCATTAATTACAACAAAAGTAACTTAACATGATAATTGCAAACTCGGTTTGATTAAGTCTGTACATGAGGGATAATGAAAAAGTGCAACATCCCTCACACATCCCCCCCCCCCCTAGCACTGGCTTGGGCGGGTTTTCAATTTTCAACACTTGAAAGTGTTGATATCAATGATCCCGAAGGACCAGAAAAAATAAATTGTTTGTATATTTGAGTTGATATTGAATTTATCTAAAAAAAATTTACATTTCTTTGTCTCGCTCTGCTCTTCTGAAAATAATTTAAAATTCCCAATTCCTAGTGAAATAGACGTGTATATTCCTTACTCATTGATTAAATTAACAATTGTCTAGTATATAAAATATACCTTGGACAGTAAGTAATAAAATCGACTTACCTTTTCGTTTATATTTTTACGCCTTGATTACAGTGAGTGATCTACAAATTTGAGTCTGTTTAGCTAAACAAATTCCATGGCTTTTATATCTATTTTGTCAAGAAAAAAAGTATTTTGGTTACGTAAAGACCAAACGTACAACGCCCCCTTACGTTAACGCTATGGTTAACCGTCGAATCCTCGATGTTTATACGCGTTTTACGTTAATTTAGACCTTTTGATGCGTGAAGTCTGCACGCTATTATCACTCGCATTGTAAAGTTTAAACTGTCCTTGATTTATATTCATCGTGCGTTGAAAGATGAACAAAACAGTTTTTTAAGGACCGGCTTAGCACGCATGTTATTGAAGACCAATTACACCACGAACATAAGTTTTAATGCAATTAAATGCATGTAAATAACATATCAAACAACTTAAAAATTTACCGCAGATATAAAATTTGAGTTTAAATATATCCTTAGAGACGCTATGAGTGCACTGATACCGCCATTAATATCTATATGTTCAATGTCTGATATAATTATGAAAATAATTAAATAGTTGTGTCTGTTTCCTAAGCTATAGAATGGGCATTCTAAAATCTCGGCACGTACTGTTAACAACAATATTCTAACGAACTTAATTTAAGAAGGAAACATTAATGAGCCGCGTCACGACAAACATAGTGCGTTTGCGATCAGCATGGATCCAGACCAGCCTGCGCATCCGCTCAGTCTGATCAGGATCCATGCTGTTCGCTATCAGTTTCTATACTTGTAATAGGGTTGGTAAGCGAACAACATGGATCCTGATCAGACTGCGCGGATGCGCAGGCTGGTCTGGATTCATGCTGGTCGCAAACCCATTATGTTGGTTTGTCGTGACGCGGCTCATTTAAAGATAGAGAGCCACATAGGTACTTTAACAATTAATACTACCGTGATTGATTTTTAAGTTGGTAAATGCTGTGAAATAATCTGTAAGCCCCTACCATGCTAACAATCTTAAAGTGGGTTGGTCTACTAAAGGCACATTTTCAATATGTGTTTCAAATCTTGAGAAAAAAATGTATTATTTGGATATTCTTATCAATTACATGAATTACTTGGGGGAAAAATGTTTATAAAGTTCTAAGTGATTTTAGTATGCTCATATATTATGATGAAAAATAATATTTTGTTCTAGAGCTATTATAATATATGTAATATTGGATTATGTATCTTATCAACGCATTTATTTATTGTATTACAGACCTTCCACTGAAAACATATTCACTTGCAATTAAATCTTAAAGATTTAAGATTCAAAGTACATGTATTTGCCAGATATATATTTTACTGCTCTTTTGGCATGTCCAGATGTTTTTTTAATAAATTTACAAATACAGATTAATTACCACACCACCTAATCTAGGACACGAATCACTATTAACCAACCATAAGGAGATACGTGTACATGTATTCTGATTACAGTATATCAATCAATTTTATTGGCTTTCCCGACAAAGGCTGCACAAAATTGATAAAAATATAACCAAAAATTGAGTTATACATATATTATAAATGCTAAATATTTACAAAATCAATAAGACTTTGATGCTACCAAGATATTTTTTTTTTCGTTTTGGACGCTCTCTGTCTGCGTACTTGACCATTACACTGAATACACCGACTGGTAAAGGAATGCAACTCATGGCACCTGCGACTTCTCTAATCCCGTCAGTGCGTGCACGTCGTGACATCGGTCTATTTGAGGCAAAAAAGAAAAGAAAAGAAAAAAGAAATAATTTTGCTCTTGTTCATAGACTGAAAATTGACTATATGCAGATACATTGCGCTGACTTATTCAAATATTGATATTGCCAGTTTCTTTTGACTATGAGTTTTATGAATTTTAATAGAACAATTGGACTGTCTCTTTTTGTCCTTTCTGTACTTTACCATTACCGAGACAAGTTTTTTTTTGTATGGTGACGTATCCGTCATTTTACGTTTTTGCCGTGTTTTTTTTTTTTTTTTTTTTTTTGGGGGGGGCGGGGTTTGCTGTTTTTTTTTAATTCATGTTATTTTATAAATGTAAAGTATACTTGATAAACAAATGAAATGCCAACCTACACACTATTTTCTGCTTATTCTGGAAATATTTAGGGATGAATTTGCCGCATTTAACCGCAAATCAATCGAAGGATAATAGTTGATAAAACTGCCCAAAAAAAAAACACGTTAATTTCATTGTCTTCGCTGTTGTGCGGTTTTGTCATTTTACATGGGCAACAATTTCACATTTATCTATCATTAAATATGCGAGGTCATTGTAAGCTAGAATAAACAGTATTTATTTTATTTATTATTATTTTGTGTGATAATTTACTTGTCATATAAACATTGCAACAAGCACACCTATACCTCTTTTTTTGTCTATCTTCGTAAACAAAACACTGTCATTCACCTTCATTATGTCACATATCAAGATTATTTTTCTCTCCAGAAATACTATCTCAATGGAAACGATTTCTGGTAATATACAAAAATGCAGGTTGGTGTAAAACTTTTTTCTGTTAAAGTAGAGTCTTTGAAAAAGTTATGTTTGAAGAAGCCAGATATTTAAACGGAAAAGAGGTAACTGAACTGTGAAATAATTATTAGAAGATATAAAATATTTTACATGTAATAGCCGTGGTTACGCTATAAAACCCATTTTATTATCTCATTAAATTTTCCAATCACTTAATACATAATACAGGATATATAAGTGTGGTCAATGTCATACATTGTATCTCGGCGGCGGCCGGTTCATCTAGAGTAAACCGCCTTTCCTGAATAACTATCCAGTTATTTCAAATTGCTCAGCAAGTGACGGACTACTAAACCCGCATGATTTTTGATCCAGCTATGAGAGACAATTGACCATTATACTCAATATCCGAGATCAATTATTACCGATAAAATTCGATCCGCCCGAGGATGAAGCTAGCAACACGTGGTCAAATACGATGGCGAGCTAATCGTGAGTAGAGACAACTTGATCATTTCAGCTATTTACGAAGAAACTGGTATTATCAAATACCTATTACAGTGGAACATATGTGACAATGCACTGTTGGCAATTAATACCAAACGTATAAATAAAATAAACATTTTATAAAACTAACAAAGCTTCAAAAACATCGCAATGCAAAATAACCCTGCTTTAGAAGACAGCTTTGCCAGTAGTCGGCGTAGCCGTGTGGTTATCGCGTCGGACCAGTTATTTTACGGATTGCTGATTTCGTGGGTTCAAACCCTGTCAGGGGCGAGTCTTTGTTTCACTCATTGCTCAGTACTGGGTTGTTTCAGGAAATGGTTCGAGTGTGCAGTGTCTGTAAACTTTAGACTTCCTACACAATCGAGCTAAAAAAAATTGTGTATAAACCAAAGTACTAGTCTGAATTGACATGTAAAACTGCAATAGGACAAAAAAATTATAGAATATAATGTTTTTATAATATATATTATACAATTAATGGAAACGAAAACCAACAGCAGTATAAATAAAGTTTGAATTTATTTATATATAACACTAGCATTTACAAAAATATTTATTTGCTAATTATTATTGTAATCATAAATAAACGTTATGTCAAAAAAACATTTGGACTTGCAATATTTTACATGATGATAACTTATCAATGAACTAAAACTCTATACTACATACAGTGTTTGGTCCACAAGAGATTTGGAATTGTATTTTCTAATCATATACTTGGACAATATATGATTCTTTCATACAATAAGTTTGCATCCCTAATTTTCGTTGGACAATTTTGACATTTATTTTTTATTATCATAATTATATTTCCTGAAAAATTACTCTTTTTATGTTTTCTTTGTTTGATATGTACAAACATGCTTGCAAACACCATGATTTAAGTCAAACCACATATTTAAATGTACAAGCTATTGAATTTCAAATATCAATATTCAACTTGATATATTGCTGCACAATTTTCACAGGACTAATTCACAATTTGATACAATTTGTGTGCCATTAATCATATATGATATGCCATATTATTTATCTCTAATATCATTTAATGTTAAAAAAGCCTATATTTTCTATACCCCACCCATCACTCCTTCATATGAAAAAAAACCATATTTATTGTAATTACTGAAATATTACCAATAAAATCTGACTAAATATTACTGCGTATATAGTGTTTTTTTATATATTTTTACTATCTATTATTATTGTTTTCTTATCCTAATTACATAAATATCCCAATCAATCTTGGCACACTACTTACTACATCAATAGCCAATAATCTATTTTAAATGTGAAAACATGCCTGCCATCATTCAAGCCAAAGGTTTTTAGTTAATTTAAATTCTCAAATTAATTGACAATTTTAACACCACGTAGAATATAAATGAAGGGTGTGCAAACAGATTTAGAAATCAACTACATTGTACAATATTTCATTAGTTTACAGCCCAACAAAAAATATTTTTCGTGAATTTCATGAAATTTTCTCTTCAATAATTGTATAAAAATGGGGTGGGGCCAATTTTGACCCCAGGGCTTTTATTTGGACAAACTTTGTAGACACTTACTAGAAGATGTTTCATGCTTAATATCTAAACTCTAGCTATTTGGGTTTTTTCAAAGAAGATTTTTAAGTCTTTGCTATACACATATAAGGAAAATCAATGTCCCCTGGGGCGGGCCAATTTTGACCCCAGGGCTTTTATTTGAACAAACTTTGTAGACACTCACTAGAAGATGCTTTGTGCTAAATATCTAAACTCTAGCTATTTGAGTTTTTTCAAAGAAGATTTTTTAAGTTTTTGTTATACACATATAAGGGAAATCAATGACCCCCGGGGCGGGGCCAATTTTGACCCCAGGGCTTTTATTTAGACAAACTTGGTAGACACTCACTAGAAGATGTTTCATGCTTAGTATCTAAACTCTAGCTATTTGGTTTTTTTCAAAGAAGATTTTTTAAGTTTTTGCTATATGCATATAAGGAAAATCAATGACCCCCGGGGCGGGGCCAGTTTTGACCCCAGGGCTCTTATTTGAAAAAACTTGGTAGACATCCATTAGAACATGTTTCATGCTAAATATCTTAGCTCTAGCTCTTTTGGGTTCTTTAAAAGAAGATTTTTTAAGTTTTTACTATATGCATATA